TCCACTTCTCTTAGCCTCTGCTCATATTTCCTTTTCTTCAACGATTCATTATCTCTGTAGCATTTCATCAAGGTCTTACTCATATTGGTAGCTGACAGTGGACAGAACACTCTAACATCAAAGTATACCATCTTTGGGTATTTTTTAGATTTTGGCCGTTTTTTTTAAATGGCTGTATCCTGAAAAATCAAAGTCAGAATCAGCTCAAACTTTCTACACATCATAAGTACATCAATATGTATCGGAAAATGTAATAAAAATTTGGGGTGATTTCAGAGCCATTTTTTGGAAAAAACCACGGGCTATAGCCTTGGGTATTTTTAGATTTTGGCCATTTTTTCAAAATGGCCATAACTTGAAAAATTGAAGTCGGAATCAGCTCAAACTTTCTAAACAGCATAAGGACATCAATATGTATCAGAAAATGTACTAAGGACAGTACATGTATTTTCTCTTACCCTCCATACATATTCCGTGTCCATTACAATCAGTCAATGAACAGTTAACAGATCCACAAGTATCTCCGGTCCATGGTGACTCACATGAACACGCCCCCATGTCACATGACCCGTGGTTATTACAATCAGGTTCAAGACACTGTACATCATGGACACATATCACTGTTGATACCTTCCTGGCACACCTGTACTGGGATTCATGATCACTGCAAGAAGAATAAAACCAGTTATATAAACAGGTTTATATTTCAAAATACTTCAGTACTGCATAGCACCAAAATTTAATAATAGCAAGGCTAGGTATTAGTACAAAATATTAAATAAAAATTTAAGATTTACATGTACATGTACATGTATGTATAATACCCATATCATACATGTATTATTACTGTAGGTTGGGTTATATTTGCAGTGATAAAAACTAATAAAAATATTCAATTAAATACCATGGAAACCTAATGAGCGTTGCTATGACAATTGACCTGGTAACTGTACTGTATGGTAACTGTACCTGTAATACAGGATACACTGGAACACACTGCTGGACTAGTGAGGGGGAGGGAGGGAGGGAGAGGGAGAAGGTGGAGGTACAAGATAAACAGGTTTTCCTAACCAGTTCTGACTAGATAGTACAGTACATAACCAGGTGCTGAGTAGTGAGTGCCATAGAGAAACTTCCTTCCAGACATCTCAGCATAACGATCCTTTCAATTAAAATATTAATTAATTAATTAATTAATTAATACTAAATTTTGATCTATACTCATGTACTTTAAAGAATGCTAGTCTCTCTTCATTCAGTGCTCCTATTGGTTTAGATAAATCTCTGAATGTATCCGGTTTTGTTAGATCTAGCAATAATAATAATGATAATAATAATAACCAATAATAATAATAAATAAATAATACATGATCCTTACCTAGGGTAGTACTAGTGTAGTCAGCGAGTATCCATGGCAACACAGGGTATTGCATAATATCATTGAAACTCTGATCAGCAACACTAGCAAAATTATGATCAAAAATAATCATACTGTTGCAAAGTCAATGGAATACTGTATGGTTGGTAATTTTCGAGGGTCCAATGTTGCGCATTTTCTCCAAAATTTCCTTAGAAGCTAATATTCGTGGGTACAAAAATTTGTGGCTGACAGTTAGCAAATTATTTTCACTTGGATCTACAGCACTAGCTTCCAATACATGGCTTATAGTGGAATATGGAGTAATAAACAAAGACTCCAGTTCCTCCACTGGCTTAAAAATAGTAGTTAAGAGCTCTGAATTGCCCGTTAATTAGTTTTCATGTGTTGGTGGTAGGGGTTAAAGGTTCATTGATAAAAATGAACCACAAAATTAATGAAAATTAATACCCCACGAAATTTACCAACTGTATAGTAGGTTGCATGTAATGTATAACACAATAATAAAAGTAATTTTGCAATAGATGTTGGCACAGACCTTCGTGTACAAAGTTGCAAGGTTAGGGTACACAGTACATGATGCAAGTACACTCTTCTACATGCAAGTGATGCAACATTCTTTTTAGTGAATGAAGCATGCACAGATTAAGAATTACACTACACTATTGTGTGCAAAAAATCACATGCATGCATGTAATCTTGCATTGTATAAACTAATAGTATCTACAAAAGTTATAAAAACAGTGCAGTTTTTGAACATAAACAGGATATAAAATGACTGAATGCATCATGAAGGATCACCATTTCAAAGAAGAGGAAGTACATAAGTGGATATACACGTAGTGAACAGTATAGATAATGATGGGTGGCACATAGTGAACTATGAATAATTGAGGTCAGATATTTGTAGGATCACCCCATTAAGCAGTCACTGTACATGCAGGTTAGATTATAATCCACCTCTTAAACTGATCATGGCTTTATCTAAGGGACCACTATCAAGAGCTGAGAAGATACCAAGAGCACCTCCTGTACTACAAGACAGCAGCTGTATAGCAGCTATTGACTTTGGGACCTCATCACTATCAGTAGCATATACCACTCCAACAACAGGAGGAGATGTAAAAGTTCTAGCACTTCACAGTACACTAGAAAGAATCCCAAATGCTATACTAATCCTGAAGGGTCTAGTGGGACAACAGCATACAACAATTGGGATTGGAAATCAAGCACAAAGTTTATACAGCAGTATGAGGAAAGATGCTAAAAAATTCATATACTTTGAACGAATAAAAAAATTATTGGAAAAAGATAATGTGAGTTAGAGTAAAACAAAAACACAAAATATGACATTAATGTATTCCCTATAGTCGCTAGATCGTACTACTGAAGTCCCTTCATTCACTGGTGGTTCTTATTATCTCATTGAAGTTATAGCTTTTATACTGACACACCTCAAGGAGAAGCTACTGACTCATTTCAGAGGAGACTACAAGTCAAGTGATTTTGATTGGGTCATTACTGTTCCTGCTATATGGAAAGCAAGAGCAAGAAGAATGATGAGAGAAGCTGCTTATATGGTAACCTAATACATGCTTTGTATTTCATTATGTTAATATGATAGGCTGGTCTCACTTCTGATGCTCCTGGTATAACAAGGTTCACTCCAGTTGGTTCCCCTTTACCGCGTCCAGAGGAGGTTAATCCTCAGAAGCTATCATTAGCTCTAGAACCAGAAGTAGCTGCTATAGCTGCACAGCATCAGTCAGAAGTATCAGGGTCCCCTCCACAGAGATATATGGTAGTTGATATAGGAGGAGGTACAGTTGATATTACTGTACATGATAAGAGTAATGGGAGAATTAGTGTAGTATTACCACCAATGGGGAACACCTGGGGAGGTACTACTGTCAATGAAGCATTGTCAATGTTACTACAAGAAATATTAAAAGATCAAGGTTTTGAATCGTTTTTAAAATCTGATCCAATTAGTGCCAACGCAACACTAAATAAGTTCTTTTACGAAGAATTTGAGAAACACAAAAAAGTATTTGGTGACACAATAGTGGGTTTAAATGAAGTAGTAATAAGCTTACCAAGCAAATTAGTACAATTCTATGGCAGTGATAAGTTAAATGAAACAAACCAGATGAACATGCATTATGATCCAGGAGATGGTTCATTAACAATAGGATATGATCAGTTAGAAGAGAAGGTATTCCAATTCACAGTTGATAAGATCATTGAGTGTGTGAGAGCAGCATTTGATGAGCTTAAGTCTGATGGAATCGATACAGTTTATCTAGTAGGAGGGTTTGGAGGATGTAGGTTTGTTAGCCGAAAGATAGAAGAAGCTATTGCTCAGCATCGTGGCATTCTTTATGATAAGATAGTGTGTCCTGTGCAACCAGATCTTGCTGTTGTATCAGGAGCAGTAATGTGGAGGAAAGATCCTAACATAATCCAATCACGTGTTGCTGATGCTACTTATGGGACAATTGTTGCTCCTGCATTTGATCCATCAATACATGATGAGCATTACAAGTTTGTAGATGAAGATGGTAAACAACGTTGCAACAGTGTCTTTAAAGTTTTCGTACTCAAAGGAGAAGAAATAAAGGATGAATTATATAAAGCTACATTTATGCCTCTTCAACAAAAAAAGACTCAACAATCTATCTTTATATACTGTACAGCAGATGATGGAGTTCAGTATATAGAAGATAAAGAAGGTAAACTAACAGTATGTGAGATTGGTAAGCTAGCACTTGATATTCCTAATCCTGATAATATACCAAATGATGAGAGAAAATTTGACGTATTCATGGATTTCAGTGGTACAGAGATACAAGCAAGAGCTCAGTATCGTATCACTGGAGAAGAAGTGAAAACAGTTTGTGACTTTCTATCAAACCAAGACAAGACTATACGAACTAATAATTAACGAATATGTACTTGCAATATAATAATAGTAACAATTGCTGTGGCTTAGAATACTATTAGTAATGGTATTAGACTATTATGACAATGCAATGCAGTGACACAGTGACAATGCAAGTACAGTTTCATTGCAAGCTTTCTTTTTAGTGAATGAAGCATGCACAGAACAAAGAAGCTATACAGCCTTATACCATGGGTGGTCACCATGGAAACCTTTGATGTTTAGCGGGAGTTACCTTAAAGCCCCTTATTTTTAAGTAAACAAATATTTGCGATTTGTTAATGGTAGTGATTTTAACATGTACTAATTTTTCTGATTTCTCCCTTTTTAAAATTAATAATTATTAATGACCGTAACGTAAATTATTAATAAATGTGAGTACTAATTTTTGCGATTTTAAAGCCACTCGCAAAACCCTCCAGACAGTGTGGAATTTCACGGTTTACATAAGAACAATACTGCAGTACTATACCATGGCATAGATACAGTGATTTTCCTTAAACTTGCATGATAGGCAAGCAGAAATATGTCATGCACATGCTCTGTTGTGGTCAGAAATTAAATAGATGCACCTACTTAATACTGACCACAACAGAGCACGTGCATAACACATTTCTGCTTGCCTATCATGCAAGTTTAAGGAAAATCACTGTAACTCCCTGTCTGGAGGTGGTTATACATAACTCCCTCGAGATAAGTGGTCTCAGGCTACGACCTCGACCACTTATCTCAGGGGGAGTTATGTACCCATAACCACCTCCAGACAGGGAGGTATCCTACACATGCACATGCACATATAGCACACATGGCATAGATGAACTATGAATAATGTTATTATTTGAGGTCACAGAAGAGGTTCACAGGACATGTTTTAACAAAAAACCACTAAAAACTGTATAAATATAGTGCTTTACTACCTTACTGATAGTGATACTTCTCTCACACTGGTCCTGGCATTATCTAAAGGACCACTGACTGCCTCCACTATCAAGAGCTGAGAAGATACAGAAACCCACTCCTGTACTACAAGACAGCAGCTGTATAGCAGCTATTGACTTTGGAACATCATCACTAAGCATATACTGAAACAATAGTAAATTTTTACCCAGATAATTGCAAATAATTTTATTCCCTATAGCTCTGCTGTTTCAACAAAAAAAGAAGATAACATAAAAGTTGTGCCACTTCACAAAACTTACAAAAGAGTCCTAATGCTATATTAATTGCGAAAGAAGAAGAACAATGATACAAAGTCATTGGGATTGGACACAGAGCACAAAGCATGTACAGTGACCTTAGAGAAGAAGCTAAATATTTTTTTATTTTGAAAGAATTTTAAAAAATACTAGAAAGAGATACAGTATAGCGAGTAATTCTGGAGGGAGTTAAATTTAGTGAATTGGTAAAATTTAGTGATTGGTGAGTTTTAATTTGACGAATTTGTGGCCACGTGCCATTGAGCATGTGTATAATGACTCAAAATGGTGGATTTAATTTTGGCGAATGGCTATCAAGACGCCAATTTGCCAAATTTAATTCCCTCCAAAATTTCCCACTATACGGTACTGGGTAAATTTTCATGTAAAAGCTGATGTTCTGCAAAAATCTTACAAAATACACTTTTCACAACAAAGTAATCTATACCATACAAAATAATCTATTGGCAAGGATAATATTGGCAATTGGCAGGCAGATATCACCAATATAAAATCCACCATTTTGTTTCAGTATGAGCATGCTCAATGGCATGGCACAAATTCTCAATATAAAATTAAGCAATTAACTTTCCACAGGCAAGTTTGCCAAAATATTTCCACCAATAAAATACATCTTATACAGTATATTGTAACTGCAAAAGCCGATTAAGTACAAACAAGAATATGACATATTTATACAAAATAAATTTTATAGGATTATTTTAAAGAAAGAAAAGTACTGTACATATGCATAAATAGGATTACTCCACAAAATGGCAAACATCAGTACATGTGCAAGTGTCACATGAAAGAAGATAACAAGTGAATATAGTACACTTATGTTTATAGTTGAGGAAAGGTGGAAAACACCTCAAAACAGCTTGTGGGGTGATAGCAGTGCTAGTAAATATTATTATTATTATGGTCAGAGAAGAGGTCATGAATATATTAATACAGGATATGACCACACAAAAGTTATACATGTATATGCAACACTAATAACCCACATATTACAGTCTTCAATATACCTAGCTCTCTTATACTATATATAATCCCATGGCTTTATCTAAAAGACCATTGCCACCCCTGAGAAGAGCTGAGAAGATACCAAAAGCCACTCCTGTACTACAAGACAGCAGCTGTATAGCAGCTATTGACTTTGGGACATCATCACTATCAGTAGCATATACCACTCCAACAACAGGAGGAGATGTAAAAGTTGTACGACTTCACAGTACACTGGAAAGAATCCCTAATGCTATAATTATTGAGAAGGATGATGATGAGTATGAAGTCACTGATGTTGGACATCAGGCACAAAATTCGTTGAGTAATATACATAAAGGGGCCAAAAATGTCATCTATTTTGAAAGAGTAAAAAAATTGTTGGAGAGAGACAAAGTGAGTGCAAATTTCTACCATTTCCTAACTAATAAGTAATAACTATAATCTTCAGTCATTAGATCGTACTACTGAAGTCTCTTCATTCACTGGAGGATCTTATTATCTTATTGAAGTTATAGCTTTTATACTAACACACCTCAAGAAGAAGCTACTGGCTGATCATCTGAAGAGAAATTACAAGTCAAGTGATTTTGATTGGGTCATTACTGTTCCTGCTATATGGAAAGCAAGAGCAAGAAGAATGATGAGAGAAGCTGCTTATATGGTAACCTAATACATGCTTTGTATTTCATTATGTTAATATGATAGGCTGGTCTCACTTCTGATGCTCCTGGTATAACAAGGTTCACTCCAGTTGGTTCCCCTTTACCACGTCCAGAGGAGGTTAATCCTCAGAAGCTATCATTAGCTCTAGAACCAGAAGTAGCTGCTATATATGCACAGCATCAGTCACATGTTCTTGGTCCTCCTCCACGTAGATATATGGTAGTTGATATAGGAGGAGGTACAGTTGATATTACTGTACATAATAAGAGAAATGGGAGAATTAGTGTAGTACTACCACCAATGGGGAACACCTGGGGGGGTACTACTGTCAATGAAGCATTCTCAGCAATACTGGAAGAAATAGTAGATGATAAAGGTTTTGAATCTTTCATAAAATCAGATCCGATTCGTGCAAAAGCTGCTCTTAACAAATTTCTCTATGAAGAGTTTGAAGAAAAGAAAAAAATAATTGGAAAAAAAACAAAAGAAATTGTACTAACCTTGCCAGCCCTCTTGGTATCATTCTATGGCCATGATAAGCTTCAAAAAGCAAGGAAGCTAAAAATGGAGTATGATCCAGATCCTAATAAATTAACCATAGGATATGATCTATTAGAAGAGAAGGTATTCAAACCCACAGTTGATAAGATCATAGAGTGTGTGAGGGCAGCATTTGATGAGCTAACAGATCATATCGATACAGTTTATCTAGTAGGAGGGTTTGGAGGGTGTCAGTTTGTTAGTAAAAGGATAGAAGAAGTTATCACCCAGCATCGTGGCATTCTTTATGAAATTATAGATCTTGAGTGTCCTGAACAACCAGATCTTGCTGTTGTATCAGGAGCAGTAATGTGGAGGAAAGATCCTAACATAATCCAATCACGTGTTGCTGATGCTACCTATGGGGTAGCATGTGGGCCTGAATTTAACCCATCAATACATAATGAACATTACAAGTATGTAGACGAAAATGGTGAACAACGCTGTGGCGATGTCTTTAATGTATTTGTACTCAAAGGAGAAGTAATAAAGGATGAAGTGTATAAGACCACATTAATACCTCGTTATCAAAGAAGCACACAAGTTAACATCTCTATATATTGTACAGGAGATGATGGAATTCAGTATATAAAAGATAAAGAAGGTGAACCAACAGTACGTGAGATTGGTAAGCTAATACTTGATGTGTCTAATCCTGATAACATACCAAAAAAAAAGAGAGAAAATACAATGTATATATTGATTCAGAGGTACAGAGATACAAGCAAGAGCTCAGTATAGTATCACTGGAGAAGAAGTGAAAACAGTTTGTGACTTTCTATCAAGACAAGACCAGTAACAATAATGAACCAAATAGTTAGACAATATATACATGTAATATAATAGTAACAATTGCTGTAACTTAGAGTAGCATTAGTAATGGTATTAGTACGCTAATGCAATGACTTTTGTGTAAATTTAAAATTGAACTTGCTTTTCTAGTTTTTCATTTTATTATTCAAAAAATTAACAAACATTTTTGAGCACAGATTCTTCAGCATGCCACAAGCAGCTACAATAGCAATCATAAATCAATAAATGAATAAAACCTACGCAAAGCATGCAATGTAAACTGAACTTGATAGTTCATTGGGAAGAATCCCTAATTCAATATTAATCAAAAAGGAGCAAGAGGGGAAACAATACAGAGTCATTGGGATTGGACATCAAGTACAGAGTATATATAATGGCATAGCTAAGAAAGATCCTAAAGACTTTGTATATTTTGAAAGAATAAAACCATTACTAGAGAGAGATAAAGTGAGTTTAATGCTGTTTATTATTTTAAGTAATAAAATTATACTGATCAGTCGTTAGGACGTACAACTAAAGTCCCTCCATTCACTGGTGGTTCTTATTATCTTATTGAAGTTATAGCTTTTATACTAACACACCTTAAGGAGAAACTACTCACTGATCATCTGAAAGAAAACTACAAGTCAAGTGATTTTGATTGGGTCATTACTGTTCCTGCTATATGGAAAGCAAGAGCAAGAAGAATGATGAGAGAAGCTGCTTATATGGTAACCTAATACATGCTTTGTATTTCATTATGTTAATATGATAGGCTGGTCTCACTTCTGATGCTCCTGGTATAACAAGGTTTACTCCAGTTGGTTCCCCTTTACCACGTCCAGAGGAGGTTAATCCTGAGAAGCTATCATTAGCTCTAGAATCAGAAGTAGCTGCTATAGCTGCACAGCATTATTCAAAAGTATTAGGAAAACCTCCACAGAAATACATGGTAGTTGATATAGGAGGAGGTACAGTTGATATTACTGTACATGATAAGAGTAATGGGAGAATTAGTGTAGTATTACCATCAATGGGCAACAAATGGGGAGGAACAACTATCAATGAAGCATTTTCAGAATTACTACAAGAAGCAGTAGATGATAAAAAATTCAAGATTTTGTCAAAATCCAATGATTCCAATCCCATTAGTGCCAAAGCTACACTAAATAGAATATTTTACGAAAAGTTTGAAGAGCAAAAAAATATTTGGAGACGCAATACCAGGTCTCAGTAGAGTAGCATTTTCATTGCCACAGGCTTTTACCAAGCACTATGGTAATATTATCCCTCAAAAATCAAGGAAGGTGAATATGCATTATGATTCAGAAAATGAGTCATTAACCATAGGATACGACCTATTGGAGGAGGTATTCCAGTCGACAATAGATAAAATCCTTGAGTGCATGAGGGCAGCATTTGATGAGCTGAAGCGTGATGGAATTAAAATCGATACAGTTTATCTAGTAGGAGGGTTTGGAGGGTGTGAGTTTGTTAGACAAGAGATAGAAGTAGCTATCCATGAGTATCGCAAAGACAAGCTTTATGATAAGTTAGTGTGTCCTATACAACCAGATCTTGCTGTTGTATCAGGAGCAGTAATGTGGAGGAAAGATCCTAACATAATCCAATCACGTGTTGCTGATGCTACCTATGGGATTTGATGTGCTCCTGTATTTGACCTATCAATACATGATGAACATTACAAGTTCTTTGATGAAGAAGATGGCGTACTACGCTGTGGCAATGTCTTTGAGGTATTTATACTCAAAGGAGAAGAAATAAAGGATGAAGTATATAAAGCTACATTAATACCTAGTTGTCAAAGTGACACACAAGCTCATATCCCTATATACTGTACAACAGATGATGGAGTTCAGTATATAGAAGATAAAGAAGGTAAACCAACAGTACGTAAAATTGGTAAACTGGTACTTGATCTTCCTAATCCTGATAATGTACCAAATAAAAAGAGAAAATTCGATATATTCATGGATCTTAGTGATACAGAGATACAAGCAAGAGTTCAGTATAGTATCACTGGAGAAGAAGTGAAAACAGTTTGTGACTTTCTATCAAACCAAGACAAATTAAAATTCTAGCAAGAGAATAATAATACATGTAATGTAGTATAGAATAATATTAGTAATAGATACATGTACCAAATGTAGTATTATTAACAGAGTGACTTTTGTGTTTATTTAATTTTAAACCTTATATTAGTATTAGTAATAGTATTAACATTAATAGAGTGGCTTTTGCAAATTGTTTTAATTAATTTTGCTATTTTTCAATTAAATTTTATGCGTGACCAAAATAAAATAAAATACGCAAAAACAATGGCAATTTACTATACTTACCATTAATGACTACATGTAATTAATTACATTTAGTAATAACTATTAATAACTCACAAGTTAAGGAACATGAGGTAATCATAATTAGATATTTCTCCAGTTTGCCACTTCTGAGTAGCATCAGTCAGATCAGGAACCTGTAGGGACACACCCCTCACCCCCACCAACTTATCATAGAGACTGTTCCTCTTTGACGTGGAGGAGAGGACCAGAAATATACTCTGACCCCCTCGGGAGAATAATTCCAGACCCTATGGGACAATATAAACTAACTGGTAAATGGAGAATGTTCATAAAATGTCATTAATAATTTATTACATTAAAAGGAGGAGTGACGTACATGTACATGTACAAATTGACATGTGTAATTTCATAACATATACCAATTAATTTTTACGGTGAAAATTTTTTGTGAATCTTGCATTTCTAAGATTTTGCGGAATTAATTTTTGCAAATACACATGTAGCTTGCAGGCTTCACCACATAGCAATGAAAATGCAGAATTTTGTGGTGGAAAAATTTCACAATGAAGCAGAAAAACATGAAATCTACAAAAATATTTCACCACAAAAACAAACTAGTATACGGTATTTATATTAATATTTTATACAGTGTAGCCTCTTAAAATACCCTATAAAACTATCACACACAATTAAAAGTGGATTTGACGTTGGTACAACCATTTAATACAAGTAACCAGTGTAATCATCAAATTTGTGATCTACATGTACATGTAAATGTGTAAATTGTGAGATGGCATTTTGTCATTGGGTGTGGTCTCGTCCTGGTAGGTGTGGCTTACCACATGTCGTAACATGTATCGTCTCTTCATGGCATGAGTG